CTCTGCAGAATTACTGTCAGGTCGTCATCATTTTTACCTCTCCGCAGAAATACGGTCAGATGGGCATCAATTTTTATCACGCCCCCGCAAATGACGGTCAGATCGTCATCAACTTTACGTCTCCGCAGAAATTACGGTCAGATCGTCATCACTTTTACCTCTCCGCAGAAATTTTCGGTCAGATCGTCATCAATTTGTATCACGTCCCCACAAAAGACGGTCAGATTGTCATCAGTTTTACCTCTCCGCAGAATTATGGTCGGATCGTCATCATTTTTGTTACGTCCGCGAAAATAACGGTCAGATCGTCAGCAATTTTTGCCTCCGCAGAATCACGGTCTGATCGTATTCAATTCTATAGTCTCCGCAGAATTACGGTCAGATCGTCAATTTTTATCACGTCCCCACAAATAACGGTCAGATTGTCATCAATTTTACCTCTCCGCAGACGCTCAGATCGTCATCAGTTTTACCTCTCCGCAGAATTACGGTCAGATCGTCATCAATTTTCATCTCCGCTGACAGCATGACACATTTTGACAAATATTCACAAATGTCGACAAGTTTAACCCGCATTTGCGGTCAGAGCGTCAACAACTTCATGATGATGCAATATTTTGGCGAAAAAATGAAAACGCAGTAATATAAGTAGCCTCCGCAGAGTTACGGTCAGATTGTATTCAATTTTAGGCTCCGAAGAATGACGGTCAGATCGTCATCAACTTTGATCACGTCCGCGTAAATAACGGTCAGATCGTCAGCAATTTCAGTCTCCGCAGAATTACGGTCAGATCGTCAATTTTCAAATAACGGTCAGATCGTCATCAATTTTACCTCTCCGCAGAATTACGGTACTGTACATTACGGGCAGATCGTCATCAACTTTACCTCTCCGAAGAAATTACGGTCAGATCGTCATCGATTTTTGTCACGTCCGCGTAAATAACAATCAGATCGTGCAACTATATAGTCTCCGCAGAATTACGGTCAGATATGGTCAGATCGTCATCAGTTTGACCTCTCTGCAGAAATTATGGTCAGATCGTCATCAACTTTAACTCTCCGCACAATTATATACGGTGAGAGCGTCATCAATTTTACCTCTCCGCAGAATGACGTGCAGATCGTCACCAGTTCTTATCACGTCCCCACAAAAAAAACTCGCAGATTGTCAATTTTTCCTCTCCGCAAAAAAAGGTCCGCAGAATTACGGTCAGATTGTCAGCAATTTTATAGTCTCCGCAGAATAACGGTCAGATCGTCAATTTTACCTCTCCGCAGAATTACGGTCAGATCAATTTTAGTCTCCACAGAGTTATACGGTCTGATCGTCATCAATTTTAGTCTCCGCAGAATAACGGTCAGACGTGATCAATTTTGATCACGTCCGCGTATTACGGTCAGATCGTCGCGTAAAGTTACGGTCAGATCGTCAGCAATTTTAGTCTCCGCAGATTCACGGTCTGATCGTATTCAATTCTAGTCTCCGCAGAATTACGGCCAGATCGTCAATTCTTATCACGTCCCCGCAAATATCGGTCAGATCGTCATCAATTTTACCTCTCCGCAGAAATTGCGGTCAGATCGTCATCAATTTGACCTCTCCGCAGAATTACGATCAGATCGTCATCAGTTTTTAACACGTCTCCGCAAATAACGATCAGATCGTCATCAATTTTTATCACGCCCCCGCAAAAACACAGAATTTTACATTTCCCGCAGAATTGCGGTCAGATCGTCATCAATTTTAGTCTCCGCAGAATAACGGTCAGATCGTCAATTTTACTTCTCCGCAGAATTGCGATCAGAACGTCATCAATTTTACTTCTCCGCAGAATTACGGTCAGATCGTCATCAACTTTTCACACGTCCCCGCAAATAACGGTCACATCGTTATCAGTTCAACCTCTCCGCAGAAATTACAGTCAGATAGTCATCAATTGTTCCCCCCTCCGCAGAATTACGGTCAGATTGTCATCAATTTTTATCTCCCGGCAAAAAAGGTCAGATCGTCATCAATTTTACATCTCCCGCAGAATTACGGTCAGATCGTCAGCAATTTTATAGTCTCCGCAGAAGAACGGTCAGATCGTCATCAATTTTTAACACGTCCCCGCAAATGACGGTCACATCGTTATCAATTTAACCTCTCCGCAGAAAGTACAGTCAGATAGTCATCAATTTTTCCCCCTGTGCAGAATTACGGTCAGATCGTCATCAATTTTCATCTCCCCACAAAAAACGGGCAGATCGTCAATTTTACCTCTCCGCAGAAATTACGGTCAGATTGTTGGTTAAGCCCGGTCAACAAGAGACATGTTCTTTTTGTGTAGGTCACATGTACGCTCAGCAGTCTAATTTTCCAGGCTTGTTAGATGACTGGACATTTCTATGTGTACTGTTGATAGGGCGGCTTTTTGAGGCTGTTTTTGGCGCTATAGGAATTTTGCGAGTGTGTGTTTTTTCGGACATTGCGCGGACATTTATGGGTGTTGTTGTTTTTGGAGCTTGAGGCATTTGTTGATATTTTGTACCCTTACCTTTCCGGAGCCTTTTCCTTCTTGTTGACATTCGAACATGTTTTGTCCGTCACGCACTTCTTTTGCGGATCCTTCATGTTTCTGTTTGACAAGCGGACGCCGTTCCAAACATAAGGCAGCAGGCAGTGTATTTCACCACAATTTGGCTCAGTTTCCCAAGAAGTGGTTTCAAATTTTGCCCCAAAACCTGTAAACACTTCTTGCAGCTTTAATCCAAAACAAAGAGGATGACCACTTTTTGCCTCCTTCTGGTTTGGAATTGCGAAAGTCAACAATCACAATGAACATGAAAAAGGTTAGGACACATAGACCATTTGTCTGCTGGCAAACATATGGCTGCCAGAAACCTGGGTCAGCTCCTGACCCAATACTAAACCAGTTCTAAGCAGTACTAAACCAGCTCATGGGAATGCATAGAATCTACGGAATCGGGCCAACTCATAGGAGAACTAAACAAAGAAATAGTACTAAACAAATTCTAAACAGTACTAAGCCAGGTCATAGGGAGATATATATATATATATATATATGTACCAGTCCCTGGGCCACGTACCCCCCCCCCCCCAATGGTATGGTCCCCCCACTCCCCCGCATCATCCGCATCGTGGGGATGATGCTGGCAATGCTGGGGATGCTGTCCAGTACCGCGCGAGCCCTGCAGCTTCGGTCCCAGACCCCCTTTCACCCCGTGAGCCAACACCCCCGCACCTCTCGCAACATCCTACCCTAAACCAAACCACCCTTTAACCCCAACCCTAAGCCTAAATCAACCCAAACCCCAAACCCACCCGAAACCCACCGCAAACCAACCCTGAACCAACCCTGAACCAACCCTAAACCAACCCACCAAGCCTCAACCAACTCCGAACCACACCCCAACCACCCAACCACCCAACCACCCCACCACCCCACCACCCCACCACCCCACCACCCCACCACCCCACCACCCGGGGGGGGTTGGCCCAACCACCCAACCACCCAACCACCCAACCACCCCACCACCCCACCACCCACCCACCCCACCCCCACAAAAATAAAGGGTTGGGGGGGGGAGGGGGGGGGGGGTCCACGGCCTGGAACATATATAGAGATATGAATACTGAGCCAATTCTAAGCTACTGGGCCCGCCCGCAGGAATACTAGCCATATCTAAACCTAAGGCAGTGGTACTTACTGGCTGATTGTTGCATGCCCAACTTTGACCCGCCGAGTCTGTTTTAGGTTGCCTATTCACCCTCATTTTGGGGCCCTTTTGCAACCACAAATATCTTGGACGACGCGTGAATGCTCCAATGTCGGCAGGGTCGAACAACATATCCGGCGCCCCCACCCCAACCCCCTCAAGGCGCAACAAAAGCGCATACAAACGTCAACAAGAGTGAGGGGGTCGCTAAGACGGCGCCGTTGGCTGAACAAGGGACCCATTTGCCACCAACCCTCAGTCCGATCCATAGACTCAAGGATCACAAGGCCTGCGTCGCATCTATTTGGCCGATATATATCCATTGGAGAGAGACTTTGGGGAATTTGCGCATCGTTTGCTTCATTTAGGCTGTGATGTAGGTCGAAACTACTTGCCAAGCATGTGTCTGTGCGGCGTAACGAGGTTGTATAATTTATGTAGGTTGTGAGTTCGGTTTAAGCAATGCCCGGAATTCGTGTTCTTTTTCTGCGGCCATTATGTTGCCTCCGCCTTGTATTTGTTCGGTTTGCTGCCATGGGTGCGCACACACGGTGAAAGCGGGGGCGGCAAACTCATACGCTTAGAGACTTTCATTTGCTTGCCCCGTTTGTCTTTCTGACTGCCTCTCTGTCGAACTCCTTTTGTCCCAGTTTGTTGTATCTTCCTCTGTCTCTGTGTCTTTCTGCCTAACTCTCTCTTTCTCTCTTTGTCTCGTCTGTCTCTGTTTCTGACATGGTCCGTCTCTCTGTCCGTCTCTGGCGCTGTCTGTCTCTACCTGTGTCTCTGTGCGTCTCTCTCTCTCTCTCTCTCTCTCTCTGTCTCTCTCTCTCTCTCTCTCTCTCTCTCTCTCTCTCTCTCTCTCTGGCCGTCTCTCTGTCTCTATCTGTTTGTCTGTCTGTTTGTCCGTCTGTCTTTCGTTCAAAACAACCCAAGCCCTCCACGTGGATCGCAGCTTGCGTTAAGGCCTTTGCATGTCCAATCTACCGGGCAGCGATGCCCCGCAGGTTTCCGAGTGCAAGGGACCATTCTCCTGTGTGTCCGACTCGCATTTGCTTAATCTTCAGGGGGGGCCTTTGAATGGGCGTAGAAGACTGGCATCATGCTTGGGCTTTGCGGAGGCGGGCCCGGATTCAGCCCAGCAGTTTTCAAGTAAAGCATTTTTCAAAAAAGGCTTTGTTTGAGGGCCAATGGAGGTCCCCCCGTTGAGAGGCTCCAATGCATGTTTCTGGCCTGGTCGCCTCGGCATCGTCTTAGACCGTTCGATCTGCTGTCGGCAGGCTGCGTTCAGACTGGGCAGGTCCCTGGCCACGGCGCTCTTCATGGAGCATGGCGCGCAACTGCACAGCGGAGGATTAGGCGCTCAGACATCCGCACGCGGTCAGACCCAGTCAGGGCCACAGGTTGGAATTTGGACCGAATCGGTTGGAAGCGGTTGGAATCCAGGGCCATGGGCCAAGCAGTTTCGACGCCTGCCAATGTGGGCGTGAGCTCTGCGTCGCTTGGGCGTCCAATTCGTATTTCAGGTGTTGGAATCCTTGTTGTCTCGAGAGAGTTGCGGGGATCTTTCCGAGCCACTTGCTCAAAACCCCAAGTCACGGTTGGGGGGACGATTGCAATTATCATAACAATAGATTTGGTTCACTTTTACATACCAACTGGAAGGAGGCCCGCTATTTTTGAGAAGCTCGTTTTTTCTCAGGTTTTGCAGACAAATCTCGAAAGTGAACGTATGGGAGGAATGGTTCCGGCGCAGCTGCTTGCTTCTCTTAGTGGTAGGCATGTCAGCTCAGGCCCACGGGATTTTGGGGCTTTCGGGTGTGGCTGGGGTTGCTCACAGGGGAAGGACGACCATGAAGTGTATGAATGTTGTTGCGGGTATGCGGGCTACTTGTTCAGGAGAGCCACGGTCAACCATGGGCCAAGCATGTTGCACCTTACAATGTGCTGGGTGCAGATGTTCACTGCTTTGCGTGGCGGGCAAGGATTCTTCGGGCTTGGAACCCTAGCAATTAACTCAGGCTTGCCTTCTTGCCAGCGTCCGGCAGGTGCTGTCGGCCTTGCTGCGTGCGAGAAAATGTTCTGCGACGGTAATTTGTGGCCTGGCTCAAACAGTTTCTTGAACGCTTTTTTCTGCGTGGACGAACGGATCTTTGCAGGAGGGCGGTGGCCTACGTCTTGTAAATTGAATTGTTGAAGACTCTTTTTTCATGATGCGGACGCTTGGTCCACAATGTAGGTGAAGCGCTGTGTCAGCCTTGAGCATATCATTCATCTATACAGGAACCTTACGGTGACGACTTTTGAATATCTGGGCCGGGCCAGGGCTTCAGGGCTGGGAGGAAGTGTAAGAAGAGATTTGTTTAAATCGGATGTGTAAAGTGGTTGGTCGGGCCACCCTCACGGGCCCTCCAAAAAACATTAATTAGGATATTGAAGCCGAGACAGACCCCTTCCCCGTCCCCTTGCTAGCACCTGCGTTGCGCTAGCTCCTGCCAAGCCAGGTCAGATTGCACCACAAAGTTCCAACCTAGGCTCCATGTCAGTGCAACACCGATGCCTGCAATTGCACACCAATGCCTTCGTAATTTTATGCTACATGAACACCTGGAATTGCGGAGCTAAGTGCGCTGAATTGAGCTTAAGGCCAGTCTACGTGGCTCGTGGAGAAAGAAAGCAAGAAAGACAGGAATGCCCATTGCTTGGACGGGGCTCCCAGATTGGGGTGGGACCTGTTTTTTCAACAAACCCCAGACTGAAAAAGAATTGGAAGAGAAGAAAGAGAAGCAAGAGAAAGAGAGGGAGACTGAGAGAGAGAATGTCTGGATCTGGCATTGGGCCCTGAGTCAGACCTGTTTCAGACCTGTTTCAGACCTGTTTCAGACCCCTGCCAAAGGACCGTCTCATATTCGCAAAATCCCTGGCACCAGTATAGCAGTGCAGCGGCTCGTGTGGAAAGAAAGCAAGAAAGATGCAAATACACTTTTTCCCGGAGGGACCCCCCAGATTTCCTTATGTTCTTGAATCTCCTGGTTTCTTGGGATGGGGCCTGTTTTTCAACAAAGCCCAGAACAACCGAATGGTTGCGGAAGATGTATTTAATTGGCAACAAACAGCACGCAAATTGACAAGAACGACTTGGGCGTCCAGATTGAAGACGTGGGCCCCTCCAAATTTCGAAGTGGGTGAAGCATGATGCTGGTTGGTCCGTGGTGGCTTCGTGGAGGCTTCGTAGAGGCTTCGCGGAAACACAGCTGCGTGTAAACTGTAACGTGCGAGCCCATGTAACAGTAACACCACTGCTACATTGGCTCTGACTTTGCCTTCCTTCGCCTGTGTTTATTTCCCGAACGCCCGGATGTTCAAGCAGGCGGGCCGGGCCAGAGGCAGGCGTTCAAGACGTAACGCGCAACACCTATCTAAATCGGATATTTAAGTGGTCGGCCGGGCTGTCGGTAACGCTGGCAGAGGTAGTGTGAAATCTTTGTTGCCCTGTTTACGTGTCCGGGTGTTTAAGTGGCGACACCGTAAGCTTTTTCTCACTTCCTGAGTTCATGAACTATAAACTTTTTGGGAAGACCATTTTAGTGGTAAATATACAGTTTGAACTTTTTGTGGGTTATCCACTCAGCAAGTGAGTTTTTTGCCCGAAAGATGATGTGACAACATGCGTGTACGCCTTGTGCTGGCCGAGTTACCTGTCCGCGGGAATGCCACGAATGTCCAGGTCCTGTTGAGCACGTTTGGGCCAACTGCGTGGCGCAGGGTTTGTTCACGATTTTTCATTTCAGAGATAACTTCTTGTTGAAGCTGTTGCTACCCTTTCCGTCCTTTTCCTTTCCGTATCTTCAACATGGAAGACAGTCTCTGCAAGTTTAATAGGAGACCAAGAGGAGATTCTTCTGGAAACCAGGCGACCCCTATTTGAGAACACACGTGTAGAGTGGCTCGCATCCAGCAGAATTTCCTGGAGAATGTGTATAGCTCTCAGCTCTTCAATACTGGGAAGGGGCGACGCAAGAGAGAGACCGATTTGAGCAGGATGTTTGTTTTTCACGAGCCAGGGCAGCGCTTGGACAGCGGGCGTTCTATGTGTTTGAAGCTATGTTTAAAAGGCACTTGTGGGAAGGCCAGGCGGTGCTGCTGACATAGGATTTGAGTTCCATGACGGCCAAAGGTTGCTCCGACCTAACCACAGGGGTAAATATTGGTATGGGGCTCTTCTGTCTTCCTTTTCGATGGCTTTCTAGCCTTTGCCCAACCCATCCAGCCTTCAGCAGGCGATATGAGCTGACTGAGTCTGGCATGCACCAATGCCGCTGGACCTGCCCGGCTGGCCACATCCCGCACACCTACAAAGAGCTTCGCCTGTCTCAACAAGGCCCGGGCGAGCTGACGATTTTCGGCAAGCTTGCGTAGAGTGTGTCTTTTTGGAGGGACCCCCTAACATAGTGGGTTTCTTTTGGCTTTCCTTCTCACACTGAACACAGGTAGCCGCGAAACAGACACACCCACATGGCAATTTTTGGCTGAGCAACAGGAAGCAACCACTCTGTACACCTGGCAATGGTGTGTCGTGCGGGGCCTGATTACTACAATGTCAACTTTAAGAAGTCAATTTGGCGGTTTCGCAGAGATTGTCTCCTTGACTTTCTTTGCGACCAGGGCCCTTATCTGTTCGATTCACGGGGGCTTTTTGCCATGTCCCAAAAGCACGTTGAAGCCACTTTGCTGGGAAGGTGTGGGGAAGTCCCAACGCCGTCTTGCCTGTGCGCTGCGCTTGTAGGAGTGCCCGTTGTTATCTGGGTGAGCCCTGGCCTTGCCAGGGGTGGTAGAACTCAAACCGTCGCCCAAGGCTGCAGAACCAAGCAAGCCGCGCACCAACAAACCAACACCGTTTCCGGGCTTGGGCGTACGGCGCTGAAGGGCACACGCAAAACGATGGTGCCGCCGTGATCATAATAGCTTCGTAGTTGGACACCGCCCACAGCGTCCTTTTTTTGCGCTTTTTGAAGTTGATTGCTTTTTTGGCGGGTGGGGGGGGGGGGCGGGGGCGGGGGCGGGGGCAAGGGGGGGATGATTGGGTCACTTCTTCAGTCTTTGTTGTTTTTTGCGGGGCGTGCGGTGTGCGTGTGTGTGTGTGGTGTGGAAGACTGGCGAGACTTCTTGAATTCTTTGTTTGTGTGCTGGGGTGTCTTGTTTTGCTGTAGCTGCTTGTGCCCAGACCATGGTGTCAGAAGACGTTCGTCTAGCCCTTGCCTTCATCATCCTGCTGCGTTTTGCTGGCATCTCGCATTGCTTCTCCACGCACTCGGTGCTGGCTCCTTTTTCCGCTGTCTGGCTGCCTTGCTTGGACTCTCTTCTGGACGTCTCGTGTCAACCAGCGGACCCCGTCTGGCCTTTGTGTCTGCCGTCACGATGTGCCCACGCAGGTTGCCGCTTGACTTTTCAGCTTTACGCGCTGACGTTCCTTTATTGTGGTCTGGCGTGCGGCCTGGGATCGTCACCTGCTACTTCCTTGCTTTGCTTCCATCGGTGTGGCTGCTGCTTGTTGGGTCTTGTCTCGGCGGTTTTTTAAAAGAGAAGCCATCATGCACTTCCCAGGCAACATGCGGCCTCTAGCATGGCAACATGCTTGACAGACGATGCTGACTTCTCAAGAGCCTGTGTGTTGCCTGCAACCGAAAAATCAGACAAAGACTTGGGACGCTAACTTTTAACTGAACAACACAATATATTATAAGGACCCCTCCCCCCGTCGGTTTTGAAAAGAGAATCCATCATGCGGCTCCTAGGCAACACGGTCTCCAACACAGCAAAACGCTTGACAGACGATGGTGACTTCTCAAGAGCCTGTGTGTTGCCTGCAACCGAAAAACCGACAAAGATTTGGGGCGTCGGTTTTCGAAAAGAGAGAACCCATCATGCGGTTCCCACACAGACCCACAGCGAGAGCGATTCAACACGCACGATCTCCGCAGAGGGCTCGCTGAGACCGCGACAAATTCGCAGGGCGCCGCAGCGAGAGCGCTTCCACACGCACGATATCCGCACAAAGTTCGCGGAGACCACGACAAATTCGCACGGCGCCACAGCAAGAGCGCTTCGACACGCACGATCTCCGCAGAGGGTTTGCCGCGGTCAGGAAAAATCGCACGGCGCGCTTCCACACGCACGATCTCTGTAGAGGGTTCGCGGAGACCACGACAAATTCGCACGGCGCCACAGCGAGAGCGCTTCAACACGCACGATCTCCGCAGAGGGGTGCGTTTCGTAAGCTCCTGTCGGGCCTACCCCCGCCAGAAAAAGAAGAAGAATGGAGAGTCGAGAAGTGAAGGTACAAAAGAAAAGTTTGCTTGTGTTTTTTGGATAGTGAAGAAACGCCCGAACAGTTAGCGTGTGCTTTTTGGACAATGAGATAACACCCGAAAAGTTGACATGAGAAGTTGGCTGGTGAAGTAACTATCAAAAGTCGGGATGAGAAGTTGGCAGGTGACACAACTCTCGAAAAGTTGGCAGGTGAAGTTGACATGAGAAGTTGGCAGGTGACGTAACTCTCGAAAAGTTGGCATGAGAAGTTGGCAGGTGAAGTTTGCAGCCACTTTCAGAAGAAGAACCCTTCGCAATGCTTCCGGGAAAAAACGCGCGGAAACCTTGATTTGTCATGATCTGGCCAGGTGTCTCCCAGGAAATGTTTGCACTTTTTCTGCAAAATGAGCGTATAAAGCTCGAAACAGGAGAGTGCAGAAACAGGTGCCCAGGGAAGACCTTGGCATATATCAACATGTGATGCACAAAGATGGTATGCTTGGGGCGGGGCGCAGGTCGAAGCCATTTCGCATCCAAAGTCAGGCGTGGTGGAGCCCGACCCCATCGAAGTGCCCGCGCAGTGCGAATCGGCGGCCGAGAGCGCGGTCACGGACCGGAGGGTCGGACAAGAGGGTCCCAAGAGGAGTTTCCTCTACAAATGTACGGGTGGGCCCACCTCCCCCGACGATCAGAGCCACCGAGCTGGTTGAACCATCAGCCGGGCGATGCCTCGAGCTGACTTTTGGAAAATCCCAAACGGCCTTCAAACGGCTAGACGCTTGCCATGGCCCTTTAACATGGAAGAGGCCATCCCGTAGCGCTCGCAACACGATGGGGCCCCACTGACATCCGTTAGAAGAGGTGAAAACGAGAAAAGGAGGGGGCGCGTTGGCGTCTAATCTTGGCTGAAGTTCATAAGTTCATAAGTTGTATAGATTCGTATACGCCCCTTGCTTGACCACAGGACATGGAAATTCAAGGCCAATTGTTTTGGACTGCAAGCCAGGGCTCCCTTTCTGTTGCCTGCCCCTAATAAGGAGGTTCCTGCTGCTTTTAGGTTTGCGAATTTTGTTTGGCACCTGCATCGTTCAACTTGTGGTTTTCAGCGCAAGGGTTTGAGCAGTCCTTGACGTTAAGCCGGCAGCTGCCTCAACAAACCTGGAGAAAAGGCAAAGTTGAGAACTAAGCCACGCAGCAGATGGTTTCAACCTGCGGACAGCGTCTGCGTCCAGTGCACGGCATATCGTAGTGCAGCTGGAAAGGTCTCAGAACGGGCAGAGGTCGTTGCTCCGTCGCATCGGCCGGTTAGAGCAAGCAAATGGTGCTTTCCTGAAGAGCGACGGTAACGACGGCAAGCGGGGAAAGGATCCCAAAGTGCCAGAAAAAGCACGCACCAGGGCTCGGATGTACCGAACTCTGGCCGCAACGGCGAGTTGCTCGACTTGTGAAGGCGCGGCGTGCTCTGCGTGCTGCCAACGTTGGCTGCGGGCACCGGATGACTATTCCGAATATTCCCAAGAAAGTGGGCGAGATGCGCAATGAGGATGGTGGTACAGCTGCAAGGGAGTCACTGGACAAAGCATGAGCGGTGCTGGTAGTTGATGAGGCATGGCAAAAGCCGTTACAAGGGGTTTTGTAGTAGCCGATTACGCCGCGATAGCTTGTCACTTGTAGTCCGTTGAGCTCGCTGGGGAGCCATGAGAGTCCAGTTCCCTTCAAGACCACCTCCAACCGGATGGAGCAACAGGGCGGGACGTGGAGCTCTTGCGTACGGATTTCCGCTTGCAAGTGGGAGCTGCAGGAAGGTCATGACCTCCAGGACTTGATGGGCAGGGGCTTTGCTCAGTTAGCGACCCTTCTGCTTCAACAGCCTTCTTCGTCTATTCTCGGGTATCTTCCGTGTGATGACGACCAACGGCCTGCTGGCTCCCTGGCTTGGGTCTTGCCCGGCTCTTTTTGTCTGTGTCGGACCTAAGCCAGGACAGCCATGCGGTGAGCCAACATGCTCGCCTGACCGTCGGCCAGCCACCCTTCATTTCGGTTCATTGGGAAGCTCTCCCGCCACTCTGCTTGCTTTGGGTTTGCCCGCGACCTTGGCCCGTCGGTGAGGCCATGCCATCTCTTTTAATAATCCCACTGGCCTACAATCTAAGGAGCTCATTGCCTACGGGCTCCCTCGTGACATCATCACGCACTTGGCGCAGCCCGGGTACGAAGACACTAATGGCTGGACAGATCACATTGGACATCAGTCATGCAGCTACTACATTGCTGGTGATCTCAGTTGTGCAGATTGTGCGGTCTTTCATGAGTGGAGTAGTCTTGGATGGAAGGAGGTGCAGGATCTCCATTTCCTGCAACATCATGAACCCCACACACACAAAGGCTGCACAAGGCCGGGCTGAACCAGGTTCGTGATGTCTTCGCCGACCATTCGCTGCTGACAGCCTGGTTTGAGATGCCGCTGTCCTGTTCCGAACCAACGCTACTGGCTGATGCCAAGCAGCTTATTCCTTGGTCCGACATACAGATCCAGAAGCGCCTGACCCCAGCAACTGTGGGGGTGCCACCACGAGCCTCTTTGTGGCTTTGTTCAACCCACTCCTCGACAAGGGCTTCTTCCTGCTCCGCGGGGATGAGCCCAACACATCCCAACACCACCAACCACAAGAATGGCCATTTTCTCGGTCGCGTGCACCTACGGGTTCAATGCTGTTCACTCAGCTTCGTAGGATCCAATCCCTTCTGCGCACAAGACAGCATGGGGCAGTCCGCAATCGAGTACCGACTTCTTACTTGCAAGAAGGTCCGCGGATTCAATTGTGATTTTGCCGCTTGGTGGACACATCGACCCATCATGTCCGCTGGATTTGCCGCTTGCCCACCTGTGTGATGACTTCCTCATCAACTGCAAACACTTAGAATCCTGGAATATTCGGCAGAGATACGCCGCACTGAGCGCCATTCCTTCCGTGGCGTGTCAATGCGGGAATGTGCGCCCTTGACCTCGTTGACTACACGCCACGAGGCCACCATCACCTCTTACGATCCTCACAATCTTGAGGTCCACGCTGACAAGAATATCCTGGAGAAAGAACTTCTCGAAGACTCGCGAGCTCGCGTCACGCGGATCAGGCGACCTGCTCCTCTGCCTTGGACGATCATGCAGCAGGCAGAAGACTACTCTGATCCCGGTCGATACTGGGCAATTTCTGCCTGGAGCCACAGCGACAAATTACCACGCTTTAGATTGGCACGAGGTCCGATCTACACCCTTGCCCGTTGGTACGCAGCGGAGTGGTCTTGAACAGTGCATTGCGAAGCGGAGCTGGACAGCTACTTCAACGCGGTGGGTGGTGGTTGAGACGGCGCCGCCTGGGAGGTTGGCTCCTCACAAGAACCACCCTCGGCGGTTATGCAACTGCAATGCACCTTTGGTGATGTTACCGTCACTTTGTTCAGGCACAAGAATTCTGAACCTGCGCCGCTGCTTGCCCCATCCTCCACGACCCTTGGGATGGATTGAAAAGAAAGACGACGGCCCTGATTTTCTGAAGCAAGGGGCAGACGCGATTATACCCAAAGGCGCTGCAAAGGGGCAGCCGACCGGTAGAGATGTTCGTCCTGGCCCCATGCGCTGATTCAACAGAAATGTCAGAAACCGAAGGGGGCCTGTTGGCTCCACCCGAAAACCACGCAAACCTTTCACCGCCAGGCGATCGTGATGAAAGCCTTGTCCACGAAACCCGCACGGGCAAGCTGTGAGCAGATGTGCATCAGGGGCGCAGGGCAGGTGCAGGCATGTTACTCGGAATGAGGCACCAGCGTGCCCGTCGCATGGGCAGTTGCTTCAGATCCCAATGAACTTGTGCGATTTGCCATTTCCTGACTCCCACAACATCCTCGACACCTACTCTGTCATTGTTGCAAGCAGTTTGAACACGTTCGAGGATAAGCTCTGCTCCTTGGTGTGGATATGCTGCCCGAAGGAAGTCCAAAAAGGTGCAATCATCCTGAAACTGTTGACCCGTCAAGGGAATCCGGCTGTGATGACTGCTGTCTGTTGCCCTCCCGATTGATGCCACGCAGGGGCTCGCATTTGTGCAGCTTTGAATGTGAACAGTATGGCAGGCCAGCATTTGCGTACTAATTTTGAGTGCCCCATCAGCCACGGCAGCGTCCACCGACCTGGATATCTTGCGGCTTGTGCACCCCAAACCGATACCGCGCATGCCGGCGCAAAGTTCCTTTACCCCAAAGAAGGAAGAGCCATCCAAGATGATCTGATATCAGATACTTGAAGGTCAGCGCCCCCACCTGGCACATCACAGTGGTTTGCCGGATGTGCTGTTGTGCCCCAACCATGCCAGTGAACCCCCTGTTTGCCCTGTGGCTGCGCCACTTTGACCATTCCATGACAACCCTCCCCAACGCTCAGCCTTCCAGTTTCACCTCTGAGAAAAGTTCGGGGCGAAACTAGATGGTTTCAACCAATATATTGGTTGCCCAGCCGTAAACTTCAATTCTGAGAGTTCACGGAGGACGCTGACAGTGACCCCGCCACGTATGAGCTCCATGGCAAAGGGGGGGTCAGGAGAGGCCGTTTCTTTGCCACACTCTTCCAAAGGCGGCAAGTTTGGCTCCGTCGATTTGGCGCTTTGTTGGCTCATGGGCACCAATATCTGGTGTGTATTTCCATGGGTTGCGATCCAACCGCAGCAGAAATCCTATCCTTCAAGCTCTTTTGGCACTCGTAGAGCAGCACCTGTGGAAGTTGTCATCCTCATCAAAGGAATTTCAGGGGATGTCCTGTTGTCTGCGTTTTTTACTGTTGTTAACAGTGCTTTCCTTGTCTTTGTTTCGCTGGTTCTAGTTTCTGCCGTGCACGAATGCCGGTTTCAATTCGGGCGGTGCGCTGGACCACTTTCATGGACCCAGTTCAACGTCTTTGTGTTCACGCCCAACAAACTAGTTGATGTTTGTTAGGTCGTGAAAGGCGTGTTCCAAAAAGATGCCAACGCAGCCCACGAAGAACCCGGAGAAAGTTCGCAGGCCTCGAAACAAGTGTCTCCAAGCCCCCACCCTGTTTCACATTACGTTTGACAGCTTGCCCGGGAGGCACATATTCGCAAAACAGCAGTCTAAGCCAACCAAACCTCTATCAAACTTTTTTGGCTGCAGCCAAGCCAGCGTTCAGCAGCTGCGCAATTCTGAGTCTCGGCCTGCGGCAGCACCCTGCAACAGCACTCTGCCGCAGCCTGCGCCTGCAACAGCACCCTGCGACGGCACCCTGCGCTGCAGCGCCCTGCGCCACTGCAGCAGCACCCTGCGCAACCCTGAGTCTCGACTGAGCAGCACCCTGTACAAGTCTGAGTCTCAGCCTGCGGCAGCACCCTGCAACTGCACAACGCGCAGCCTGCTGCTGCAGCACCCTGCAACCGCACCTTGCAGCAGCACCCTCAACAGCACCCGGCGTGCGGCGCCTGCGCAATGTGAGTCCTGGCCTGCCGCCCGCACTCTGCGACGGCCCTGCAACTCTGAGTCTCGGCCTGCGGCAGCTGCAACAGAACGCAGCAGCACCCTGCAACAGCACCCAGGGCAACTCTGACTCTCAGCCGCCTGCAGCACCCTGCAGCGCCCTGCGCAATGTGAGTCCCGGCCTGCAGCGGTGCCTCGCAGCGCTGCAGCAGCACCACCCTGCGCAATTCTGACTCTCGGCCTGCGGCAGCTGCAACAGCACTTCGCAGCAGCGCCCTACAACAGCACCCAGGGCAACTCTGACGCCCTGCGACAGCACCCTGCAACAGCGCCCTGCAACAGCACCCTGCAACAGCGCCCTGCAACAGCACCCTGCAACAGCACCTGGCCAAAATTGTGAGTCTCACCCACCTGTTCTGCACTGGAAGTTAAAACGCGTGAAGCCTTTAGATATATGGGGAAAGACTGGTTCGAGCAGTCACGCAACTGGTTGTGGTGCGTGCCCACATCAAGTTAGTGTTGCGACACTCCTTTGACCTAACCGCCTGCGGACCAAGGTTTTTCGAGGAAGTACTTGCTTTCCTATTGTGCGCAGTTCTGTCGATTCTGCCTGAATTGCCTGAGGCAGTCCAGCACTGCGAAACTCGTCAACCGCATGCCATACAAAGCGCAGCTTGGCTTTGGGCTTAGGGGAAGTTGCGTGTTTTGTTCCTGCTGTTTGTGGTGGGTGGGAATTATCCAACAGAGCAGTTTTTTGGACCTGCGAACAGTGGTGGTTTCCTGCTGGGGATGGGCGTCCGTTTCATCAGTTGCAGACGGCCACGAAGGCAACCTTCCTTGGTCAGATGCCGGCAGTCACCAAGCAGTTGTGAAGACATTTGATTGCCGAATATGGCTTCTTGGGCTTGCGATTCCATGCTACTGATAGCCTGGCGCTGCTTGCCCGGTAACCCGATTGTGAGGTTTGTGACTGCTTGGGCCCCTTTACCTTTAGATGCAATCGCCGAAGGCACAGGCGCGCAAGCGCCTGTACTTCATTTCATTTTGTTCGTCAAGTTCAAACAAGTCGGAAACTTATGGAAATTTGTACCGTGGCTTGCCATTGATCAATTGCGCAGATATCCCTGTGTTGCGGCGTCCTTCCTGTTCTCGCATTGGCGAGCAGCGCGGTTTTGTTTTGAAGCTGTGCTCTCTGCAGGGCGACATTAGTTCTTTGAACCTCTTTGAAACCAGCCAACATGAGACCATGCCCACTTTGACATTGCAGAAGGCATATCGTGGGGGGAAGTCTGTTGAGCCAGATTCCCTCCGGTGTCCCCTGCCGGCCCGGAGGCTATCTGGGCTGAGACTTTGATCTGGGGAACCATTGCTTGAACCACTCTCAAAAACATTGCTGGTTCGTTCCAGGGAAGGTTCCCGAGGTTGCGGGGTGGCTGGCGCAGACCAAATACAAGGTTCAAGGGTTGGCCTGGCGCAGGCCAGGTGAAGTCAGCGCCGAAGAACCTAACTCTCGACCCCTTGGCTTTCAGCTGTTGGGGATAAAGAGAGTTGCTGGGTAGATTTGATCAGTCATTAGCTTCTCTCTCTTCCATTTCGAGGTATTCCTTACAACCTCAAGGAATATTGTTTTTTGGGTTCCCTTGTGAAAGGTTCTGATCAGTAGCCTAGATGTGAGGGTTAGCTTGAGCCCCTTTCGACGCAATGGCCGAAGGCGCCGGCGCGCAAACGCCTGTACTTCATTTGATATTGTTCGTCAAGTCCAAAGCAAGTCGGAAATGTGTACCGTGGCTTGCTATTGACCAACCAAATGCGCAGATATCCCTGTGTCGCCGTCCTTGCTGTTCTCGTATTATTTTTGCAGACAAGCAGCGCGGTTTTGTTTTGATGCTGTGCTCTGGGCGCAGGGCGACATTAGTCTTCTGAACCTTGTTCTGAGACAAGCCAATCCAAGTCCAACAGGAGATGATGCCACTTTGCCACACACACGGGAGGCGCTTTGAGCAAAAATGCAACAACGAGCTCAGGTGACATCATCAACAGCACTACACCTTTATGGGTCCTTCAGATGCGGAGGAACAACGGTCCCCGATCTGGGAGCTGTTGACAAAGACCAGGTTGATAGCGCCTCTAAGAGAGATGCTGGGCAGATTTGAACCGGCTGTTTGCTGGTTTCCTTTCGAGCAAAAATCCGAGCAATAGTTCAGTCTTGATTATTCCACTTCAAGGCTTCCGAGGTGTCCTGTACAACCTGGGCTTTTCTCCGGGGACATTGTTTTTCCCTCCGGCAGGCTGTAGACAAGCCACCGGTACGGCAAGATACCAAGCATTTTCTCCGCCTGCGCTCTGTTCCATTTGCCCACACGCCCCGCTCAGCACTCTATCCATCCTTCATATGGTAAGCACACACGCCCTGCCAAACGGTAGGCGCACCCGCTCCGCTCAGCACTTCCACGCATGTCCCCGACTTACCTGTGGTCTGGACTGGGGATGTGAGCCCTTCTTTCTTGTAGAGGGTAAATGCGAAACTGCCCTGAAACACACAACCTCCAATCCACAAATCGGGAAGCTGAACTTAGGGAGCCGGCGTACAGCAGCGAGCCCCTGAAGATTCTCAAGGCCTTCTCCCCGACACGCTTGGGCAACACCATGCCGGCGGCCCTGCGCTATTGGGGCGACTGCCGGCCTGCCGCTCCACAGGCGTGGCTCTGCACATGTGTTGTTTTGGAGTTGGCATCCTTGGATGGTTGGAATCGAAAATGAAGAGGACATCAACCATTGGATGTGTCGCTGATTTTGACACCTACCGTATTTGTGGGCAACCAGGCTTGTTGCGCCTGTGGAGTTTTGGCCGGGTTGGGGCCAAACACCCTATTGTCCCATGTCACGCATCACCCCCTCCCCCCCAGCCCAAAACAAGAGAAAAACACACACTGTTAGCAGGCACGAAGTCGGATGCAATCTGCCCACTACCTTTTGACTCAAAGTTTGAGGTACCCACCCACTTACTCACTCACTCACTCACTCCCTCCCTCCCTCCCTCCCTCCCTCACTCACCAACCCACCCACCCACCCACCCACCCACCCACCCACCCACCCACCCACCCACCCACCCACCCACCACCCACCCACCCACCCACCCACCACCCACCACCCACCCACCCACCACCCACCCACCCACCCACCCACCCACCCACCCACCCACACACCCACTCACTCACTCGCTCGCTCGCTCACTCACTCACTCACTCACTCACTCGTTCACTCCCTCATTCACTCATGAGTCTCTCACTCACTCACTCGCGAGTCTCTCACTCACTCACTCGCGAGTCTCTCACGCACGCACGCACGCACGCACGCACGCACGCACGCACGCACGCACGCACGCACGCACGCACGCACGCACGCACGCACGCACGCACGCACGCAGCACGCACGCACGCACGCACGCACGCACGCACGCACGCACGCACGCACGCACGCACGCACGCACGCACGCACGCACTCACTCACTCACTCACTCACTCACTCACTCACTCACTCACTCACTCACTCACTCACTCACTCACTCACTCACTCACTCACTCACTCACTCACTCACTCACTCACTCACCCACTCACTCGCCCACTCGCTCACTCGCACAAACACCCTCGCACGCACGCACGCACGCACGCACGCACGCACGCACTCACGCACTCACGCACTCACGCACTCACGCACTCACGCACTCACGCACTCACGCACTCACGCACTCACGCACTCACTCACGCACTCACGCACTCACGCACTCACGCACTCACGCACTCACTCACGCACTCACGCACTCACGCACTCACGCACCCGCTCGCTCGCTCACTCGCTCACTCACTCACTTGTACTCGCACTCACGCACTCACTCACTCGCTCGCTCGCTCACTCCCTCACTCACCCACTGACTCGCTCACGCACTCACTCCCTCCACTCCATTGCACTGCACTCCACTCCCCGCCCCTCCACTCCACGATTCATCAAAACGACGCGTCGCGGCAACTGTTTCCATGCGCGGGCGCTTGCGAAGGCATATGAACGCTTTCGAAAGCTTGCGGCCACACGCGGGCCGACCAGCGAACACGACCTTTCCCCCAGACCTCACTTAATAGCCGGCTTAGCCGGAGCCCTTCTCGTGGCGGGGGCAGAGCCGGGGGTTTCCCAGCTGAGTTGTTTCAACTTGATTAGTAAACCACTCCCCTCAAGGTCGACAATGTTTCGGGGTTCCTACGGATGAGCTCACCACATCAGGCCAAAGCAAGATGCAAGCGAATGGGGAGCATGTTGTGTATAAGCTGAGCACAATGGAAGTAGCCACAGCAGTTCATGAGACTTGATAGCCAAGAATGAGGAGAAGCAATGGGTTAATGTCTTCTCACGGCGGCCAGACAAGCATGGCAAGATGATCTGGCACGGCAATGAAGAACGGTGCAAGAATATACCCCATCACACAAGACCAAGCCTACATCTCAGACACGCGCATCAGGTTCTGTGGATGATCAGACCAGACGAAGTTTGGATGCGAGTTGTGGGTGGCAACAACAGTGCCTTTTGCCACTGGCACAAATCGGCAGCTTTGCATGAAGCACACAGACTTTACGGTGCTGGAGTCTAGATGCCGCGTGCTTCTGGCACGCTTCTCAGCAATTGTGGATTTCCTGCTGCTGGTCACACATACCCTTCATTGGGGAAATGCTGACCAGTACTTGTGTGAGTGGTGGGAACAGATGAGCAGCACTGTCAACAAGTACAAGCGCCTTGAACAGCTGGTTGTTCTGGGTGATTGCAACGCAAGGACTGGAGGAATGGAAGGACCTCATTGTGGCGGATATGGAGCAGAGAACCCGAACAGGAAATGCTCATTGACGTTGCACGCATATGGAACCTATGGATTCCGGCCCCCTTTGAAGGTTGCCACTGGGGGCATCATGCCACATGGTCCTCGCCGGATGGAAACACTGATTCCAGACTGGACTACATCCTCATAGATTTGAGTTTTGATGCGAGGTATACTCAATCATGAATCGATCAGTCTTTGGATGCTGGATGCGCCCGCCGAGATCATCGACCAACGGTGTTGACTTTCACCATCAACAAGTACGAAGCCTCAAGGCCCAAGGACCGGAAGAGGATTCATTACGATTACGATGCCATGGCGTCAAACCACGGCAGAGCCACCATGGAGACCATCTTTGACAATCTGACGACACCTCCCTGCGATGTGCAGGTGGAGGACCATGCTGATGCCGTATTGGATGAGTTGCATGCTCAACTTGCAAGTCATTTCCCTGCACAGAGAAAACAGAGGACGGGTCTTTTATCACGGAACATACGCACTTTCCAAAATCGATCAACCCGACAAGGTCAACCATGCAAGGTGGAGCTTACGAGAGCATGTCTGCGTATTGCATTTTATGCTTGGCAGTCAGATGTGGGGCGGCGATTGCCGGCGCAAGGGTACATCTTCCGATTGCATAAGAGCATTGCGAAAGCGCCTAAATAGATCAAGTTGCTGAAAGGGCTGAAGGTGCCGGTGCCAGTGATAAATACAAGGAACTCAGATGCCTACGTGTTGGGCGCATTTTCAAGTTGCGGGGATTCAGTCACTCACCCAGTCACTCAGTCACTCACTCACTCACACACACACACACACACCCTCGCACGCACGCACGCACGCAGGCACACACGCACTCACGCACTCACGCACGCACGCACGCACTCACGCACTCACGCACTCACGCACTCACGCACTCACGCACTCACGCACTCACGCACTCACGCACTCACGCACTCACGCACTCACGCACTCACGCACTCACGCACGCACGCACTCACGCACTCACGCACTCACGCACTCACGCACTCACGCGCCCACTCGCTCGCTCACTCGCTCACTCGCTCACTCACTTACTTGTACTCGCACTCACGCACTCACTTACTTGCTCGCTCGCTCACTCCCTCACTCACCCACTGACTCGCTCACGCACTCACTCCCTCCACTCCATTGCACTGCACTCCACTCCCCGCTCCTCCACTCCACGATTCATCAAAACGACGCGTCGCGGCAACTGTTTCCATGCGCGGGCGCTTTCGAAGGCATATGATCGAACGCTTTCGAAAGCTTGCGGCCACACGCGGGCCGACCAGCGAACACGACCTTTCCCCCAGACGTCACTTAATAGCCAGCTTAGCCGGAACCCTTCTCGTGGCGGGGGCAGAGCCGGGGGTTTCCCAGCTGAGTTGTTTCAACTTGATTAGTAAACCACCCCCCTCAAGGTCGACAATGTTTCGGGGTTCCTACGGATGAGCTCACCACATCAGTAGGCCAAAGCAAAATGCAAGCGAATGGTGTATATGCTGAGCACAATGGATGTAGCCACAGCAGTTCATGAGACTTGATAGCCAAGAATGAGGAGAAGCAATGGGCTAATGTCTTCTCACGGCGGCCAGACAAGCATGGCAAGATGATCTGGCACGGCAATGAAGAACGGTGCAAGAATATACCCCATCCCACAAGACCAAGCCTACATCTCAGACGCGCGCATCAGGTTCTGTGAACGATCAGAACAGACGAAGTTTGGATGCGAGTTGTGGGTTGCAACTACAGTGCCTTTTGCCACTGGCACAAATCGGCAGCTTTGCCTGAAGCACACAGACTTTACGGTGCTGGAGTCTAGAGGCCACGTGCTTCTGGCACACTTCTCAGCAATTGTGGATTTCCTGCTGCTGGTCACACATACCCTTCATTTGGGAAATGCTGACCAGTACTTGTGTGAGTGGTGGGAACAGATGAGCAGCACTGTCAACAAGTACAAGCGCCTTGAACAGCTGGTTGTTCTGGGTGATTGCAACGCAAGGACTGGAGGAATGGAAGGACCTCATTGTGGCGGATATGGAGCAGAGAGCCCGAACAGGAAATGCTCATTGACGTTGCACGCATATGGAACCTATGGATTCCGGCCACCTTTGAAGGTTGCCACTGGGGGCATCATGCCACATGGTCATCGCCGGATGGAAACACTGATTCCAGACTGGACTACATCCTCATAGATTTGAGTTTTGATGCGAGGTATACTCAATCATGAATCGATCAGTCTTTGGATGCTGGATGCGCCCGCCGAGATCATCGACCAACAGTGTTGACTTTCACCATCAACAAGTACGAAGCCTCAAGGCCCAAGGACCAGAAGAGGATTCATTACGATTACGATGCCATGGCGTCAAACCACGGCGGAGCCACCATGGAGACCATCTTTGACAATCTGACGACACCTCCCTGCGATGTGCAGGTAGATGACCATGCTGATGCCGTATTGGATGAGTTGCATGCTCAACTTGCAAGTCATTTCCCTGCACCAAGAAAACAGAGGACGGGTCTTTTATCACGGAACATACGCACTTTCCAAAATCGATCAACCCGACAAGGTCAACCATGCAAGGTGGAGCTTACGAGAGCTTGTCTGCGTATTGCACTTTATGCTTGGCAGTCAGATGTGGGGTGGCGATTGCCGGCGCAAGGATACATCTTCCGATTGCATAAGCGCATTGCGAAAGCGCCTATATGGATCAAGTTGCTGAAAGGGCTGAAGGTGCCGGTGCCAGTGAGAAAAACAAGGAACTCAGATGCCTACGTGTTGGGCGCATTTTCAAGTTGCGGGGACACACGCCTTTG